CTACTGCATATCACCGCGAATATCGCGTTTTTCACCGAGTTCATGTAAAACGGGTGATTTAAATCCAACATATATTTTTCATGTCACGGTCGTGAAACTTCACCATTGTTTTCAGGTTTTACAAAGGCTTAATGAGGCTATTGAAACCTGCGAGAAGAGCTTAAACGATTATCTAGAGCAGAAAAAGAAGGCTTTCCCGAGATTTTATTTCGTCGCTAATCAAGCGTTGTTGGATATTTTATCGAATGGGAATAGGCCTTTGAAAGTAGTGGCGAAAAAATATTAAAATTTTAGGAAAAAATTGGGAAATTTTGGTGGATTTTTGTACACTTTTGCAATTAGTGAGGAAAGCGAACATATATTCCTCGAAAATGGTCAATTGCATGTGTTGGTGATAATATTGAAAATTTTGGGAATTTTTTTTGGGAAAATTTTTATTGGTTTCTGTACACTTCTACTCGAATTTATATGTAAAGATGTATGCTTACGTATTATTGGTTTTTCGTCAGTGTTGGTGATAATACGGAAATTCTAAATTTGGTTTTTTAAGTGTGAAGCTCAGCTGAGGAAAGTATATAATTTTCCAACACTGTTATTGGAAATTTCGCGGAAAATTTTCTCCCAGTAGTAGTTGCAGAAAAAAACATTTTTCGTAAGTAGTCGTTGTTGAAAATAGTATTTTCACGAAGTAGTTGTAGATTTTTTCGAATAAAAAATACATTTTTTCGGAAAATTTTTTGGATGATTATTCTCGTCAGGTTGCTGAATATCTTGGCGACTGTTTTGATGGTGTGAAAAGCCTCAACTTCGAAAAAGATCCTATAGATGGGCGAATAGGAAACGGAATAATTTCCAAAGATAAGGAGTATGTGCCGTTTTTCGAGGATGTGATTTTGGAGGGCGCGGTGGAAACTTATCTGACGAATTTGGAATCGCATATTCGATGTACGTTACGCGATATTTTGGATAACGCTCGAGCGGCTGCGGAAAATTGGGAGGTTGACAAACCTCGGGAAATATGGTTACAAGATTACTGCGCGCAGTTGGCTTTGGTGACTACTCAACTAGTGTGGACAGAGGAAACGGCGAGAGCGTTTGACGAACTGGAGGGCGGAAGTGAAACGGCGATGAAAGATTATAAGAGAGTTTGTGATGATCGCATTGAAAAATTGATCAAACAAGTAAGTGGGAAAAAGAAATTTATGATATTTTTTTTAAAAATTTGTGTTTTTTGCCATTTTTTTCACAAAAGGTTGTTATTGATCGTATTGAAAAACTGATTAATCAGGTGAGTGAAAAAAGATTTTTTTCTGATGATCTTTTCCGGAAAAATTGTCTCTTTGTGGGTTCTTTGTAACTCTTTTTAACGAAAATTTGTATTGAAAAACTGAATAAATGAGTAAGGGAAAAATTTTTTCTTTTTGCAGTAGCAGAATTTAATTTTCCTCCATTTTTTTGCGAAAAAAATTTTCCCCATCACATTAATTCACCTGTTTGGTCAGTTTGTATTTTGAACTCAATTTTAAGTTCATTGGTCATATTTTCTCTATTTTTACGGAAAAAAATTCCCAGAAAAAAATTTCCCATCACATTAACTCTGAATATTTTTAGTTTTTATGTATTATATTTCTCCTATTTTATTTTTTTCGTGGAAAGAGAATTGTCCACTGGGAAAAAACGAATTTTCCGGAAAAAATAAAGTAAATTTGTTGTTTTTTTGCCAGGTTCAACAACCACTCGATGCTGATCTTCGTGCAAAGATTATCACTATTATCACTATAGATGTCCACGCCCGAGATGTTATTGAAAAATTCATCCAAACTAAAATTACGGATCCTACAGCTTTCCAATGGCAAAGCCAGCTGAGATTTTATTGGCAACATAAACCGGCCGGTGGAAATCTGGTGTCATTTACTCCGGAAGAGCTTAAAACGTGCGTGATTCGAATATGTGATTGGTCAACGATTTATCAATATGAATATGTGGGTAATTGTGGACGGTTGGTGATTACGCCGTTAACGGACCGGTGTTACATAACGTTGACGCAAGCATTGAATTTGATAATGGGAGGAGCACCAGCTGGGCCGGCGGGTAGGTTTGGGACGTTTTAACACGGGTAAAAACGTTGGGTTTTAGGTACGGGTAAAACGGAGACGACGAAGGATTTGGCGAGAGCGATTGGGTTGGCGGTGATGGTTTTCAACTGTTCAGATCAGATGAGCTATTTAACGATGGCACAGATTTTCATGGGGCTGAGTCAGACAGGAGCTTGGGGGTGCTTTGATGAATTTAATAGGATCAGTATAGAAGTGCTTAGTGTTGTTTCTACACAAGTAAAAACGGTCCTAGATGCGATTAAGGAGAATCTGAAAACGTATTTGTTTATGGATGAGGATATTCGGCTGATACCAACATGTGGGTTTTTCATAACGATGAACCCAGGCTATGCTGGTCGAACAGAATTGCCGGAAAATTTGAAAGCGTTATTCAGATCGTGTGCAATGGTAGTGCCCGATCTCGTTTTTATATGTGAGAACATGCTGATGAGTGAAGGGTTCGTGGTTGCAAGAAGTCTGGCGAGGAAATTCGTTTGTTTATATATGCTATGTCGGGAATTGCTGTCTAAGCAAATGCATTACGATTGGGGGCTGCGAGCAGTGAAGTCGTTATTACGACAAGCGGGGACGCTGAAGAGGGCCGATCCAGATATGGATGAATATCCGATTTTAATGAGAGCGTTGAGAGATTTTAACACACCGAAAATTGTTACGTCGGATATGCCCATTTTCTTGAGGCTAATACAAGATTTATTCCCTGGGGTGAGCGCTGAAGTGAAGTTAAATCCGGAATTTTCGAAAGTAGTTGCGAAAGTTGTTAAGGAAAGAGGACTGCAAGCTGACGAAGGGTTTGTTACGAAAATTGTGGGTCTTCTGGACATTTTGGGAGTTCGACATTGTTGTTTTATCATCGGTCCAACCGGCTCTGCGAAAACGGAGGTCTGGAAATGTTTGTTGGAGTCGTTGAAAGTTATCGGTGAGGAAGGCGCGTATGAAGCCCTGAATCCAAAGGCGATAACTTCTGATGAGCTGTATGGAATTATGACGAAAACTAAGGAGTGGAAGGATGGCGCGATTGCTGTTATAATGAGGAATATGAGTAAGGAAATTAACGGCTATAAAAGTTTGCACAAGCATAAGTGGGTTGTTCTTGATGGGGATATCGACGCGACATGGATTGAATCTATGAACACGGTCATGGATGATAATAAGGTAATCGATCACGTGATCGATTTGGCGATTTTGTTACATTGCGTATAAATTTTTATATTTTTTGTTGAATTTATGAAAAAAAACGGCAGAAATTCTACTGCTTTAAAATGTTCAAATTTCTAGGAGAAAATTCGACCTGAAAAAAATTATCATCCGATTTTTCCCGGAATTTGGGGATTTTCAATATTAAAAAAATGCAAAAATGAGAAAAACGGCAGAAAATTTACTATTGTGAAATGTTCAAATTTTTGGAGGAAAAATTTTCGGCAGGAAAAATATTGTGGGGTAAATTGCCATCGGAATTTCTTTCTTCAATTTGTGAGAAAAACGGCAAAAAATGTAAAAATGAGAAAAAATGTAAAATTATATTTAAAAAATATAACAAGAATAAAACTTTTTCAGGTACTCACCCTCGTTTCGAACGAACGTATTCCCTTTACCAACACTATGCGTATGCTACTAGAAATCCAAGATATGAAGTGCGCCTCCCCAGCGACTGTCTCACGCGGTGGAGTGCTCTTTATCAACGAATCTGATGTCGGCTGGAAACCCTATATTGAATCTTGGAGGGAAAAAATGGACCCGGTGGCACAAAGTACATTCTATTTACTCTTCAGCAGCTATTTCGAGGCGAATATAGAGTAAGTTTGAAATTTTCTGGGAAATTTTATTTCTTTTCTGTGGAATTTTTCATCTTTTTGGGTAGTTTTTATGCCACATGGTGAAATATGAATTAATTTTCGGAAAATTTTTCGGTGATTTTGTGATTTTTCCCCCACATAGGTCATTCCGTGTTAGTGATAGAAATTTCTTGTGTGAATTTTACAATTATATACCACTCGGAGAAATATAAAGAATTTTTCGAAAATATTTCCGTTATTTTTTCATTTTTTCCCCACATATTTCATACCGTGTTAGTAAATAAAATTTTCCTGTGTAAATTTTAGTAAATTTCAGTAAAAAATGTCATTTTTATGAGAATTTTTTCGGAAATTTTTCTTTTTTTTCAGTACAATTCGGCGACAATATGCATTTTCCTGCCCAATTTTGGACATGGGTTTCGTTCAAGCGATTTGTGCTATTATTGACGCTTTGTTAAACAACAACACTAAGGAGGCTACGGAGGCGTTGAAAGCCGCGAATTCTGAAGAGCAAAAGCTGATTTACGAAGCGTATTTTGTATTTGCGATGATGTGGAGTGTGGGAGGTGCGGTAGCTGATGATAAAATTACAAATCACCGTAAAAGTTTCAACAGTTGGATGAGAAACACAAGTAAAATAAAATTCCCAGAAGCGGGTGAAGCGATGGACTATCGATACGATACTGTTAATCAGTGTTGGAAACATTGGGAAGAATTCGTAACACCATATGAACCCGTCACCGAGAGGATGTATCAATCGATTGTGGTATCAAATACTGAGATAGAGCGATTGAAATATATATTGTCGCTTTGCATGAAGCGGGCAAAACCGGTGCTGTTTTGTGGAGTCGCAGGTGAGCAAAGGGGAAAAAATAATATTTTTTAGGGAAAAATTTCACTTTTGTCGAATTTTATTTGAAAAATATATTTGGAAAAATAAAGAGAAAAATTTTGGGGGAAAAATTTAGAATTTGTTGGTCGAATTTATCATTATCATTTTTACCAAAACAATTTTCGTCTTGTCTTTTTTCGGGAAAATTATGATGAAAAAATATAGAAATTTTTCGTAGAATTTTTTTATGGTCGAGTTTTGGATACCTTTTTTTCAGGTACGGGGAAAACAACTATAGTGAAAGACTTCCTATCGGAATTGGGAGAAGAAATGCTGAGTGCTTCGTTAAATCTGAACAGCTATACTGATAGTTTTTCACTGCAATTGATTTTGGAAAGCTATCTCGATAAAAGAACCGGCCGTACGTTTGGTCCCCCGGGAAATCGAAAATGTGTTTATTTTATCGACGACTTGAATATGCCATATGTGGACGAGTATGACACTCAGAGTGCTATAATGCTTTTAACGCAGGTGAGCGTATTTCGGGAAAATTTTCGGGAAAAACTTGGGAAATTTTAATGGTTTGTGAACACTTATTATCAGGATTAGAAAAATTGTGAGGAAATTTTTGGAAAATTTTTCGAAATTTTGATTGGTTTTTGAGCACTTCTATTTGAATTGGGGAAATATGAAAATTGTGAGGAAATTTTGGGGAATTTTTCATTGATTTTTGGAAAACTTTTATACGAATTTTATAATTAGTATAGAAATTCCTGAGCTCAATTGAGGAACGCAAACGTATATTCCTTCAACATTTTTTGTCTTTTTCAGCTCATATCATACGGAACGCTATTTGATCGATTTCATCTTGAAGAAAAAAAGGATATTGTTGATATTCAATATTGTGCTTGTATGAATCCGAAGGCTGGCAGTTTTATGGTAAACGCGCGGTTGCAAAGGCACTTTACGGTTTTGACGACATTCGCGCCGACGGGTGATTTGATAACGCAAATTTACTCGCAAATTTTGGGATACCATTTGCAGCAGTTTGAGAGCGGGGTGAGAAATTTACAAGAAAATATTGTAAATGCAACGACGGAGGTTTTGAGTCAAATTTTGGCTCAGCCGTCGTTTTTACCATCGGCGAAAAAATTCCATTATCAATTCAATCTGAAGGATATTTCGAATGTTTTCCAATCCCTGCTGAATACCACCCCAGGGCTGTTTCGGGGCAGTCCGATGAAATATCTGCGAGTATGGCTGCATGAGTGCAGGAGAGTCTTCAGCGATCGTTTGGTTAGTGAAAGCGATATGAAGGAAATGGAAATGATTTTCGAGCAGTCTGCGAAAAAACATTTTGGTGGAATTTCGATGGAAGAGTTATTCGGCGAAAATTTGATATTTACGTCGTTTGTTTCGGTGCACGGTGGCAACGACAAGCAGTATATGGCAATACGCGATCAAGAGCAGCTGAATGAAGTTTTGACAGAAAAACTGGCAGAGTATAACGAGACTTTTGCCGAGATGAACTTGGTGCTATTTGAGGACGCCATGGCTCATGTGTGCAGAATTTCGCGGATCATAGATCTGCCCTGCGGAAACGCATTACTCGTCGGTGTGGGAGGATCTGGGAAGCAGTCGCTGTCGCGGCTCGCGTGCTTCGTAACGCAAACAGATGTTGTTACGATTCTCGTGAATATGTCCTATGGAACGGCTGATTTGAAATTGGATCTGCAAGAAATGTATAAAAAGGCGGCGGTGAAACCAGGGACTCCACATGCGTTTTTGTTAACGGATGGGCAAATTGCCGACGAGAAATTTTTGGTATATATTAACGATATGTTGGCGACGGGGAATATACCAGATCTATTCACGAGAGAGGAGTATGATGCGCTTCTGGGAGCAGTGAGGAATCAGGCTAAAGCTGCTGGGGTGAGTGGGCGAAAATTCTGATGAAAAAAACGTATTTTTGGTTTTTTTGTTGGAGTTGATTTTGAGAAATTATTATGAATCTTTTGATGATTTCTTTTATGTGGAAAAGTGTTTACGTTCATTTGTTCAACAAATGACAACAAATTTTGTTGTTTATATATAATTTTGCAGTATGGGAAAATATGCACATGGTCAGCTACATGTGTTGGTGATAAGATGAAAATTCTGAGGGAATTTTCATTGGTTTCTGAACACTTTCATAACTCTGCTGAGCTCAGCAGCTGAGGAAAGCGAACATATCTTCCTACTCCAACACTGGAGTTTCACCCGTTTTACGTGTAGTGGCGTAAAACTTCATGAAAAACGCGATATCCAGTAGTCGTTAAATATGTTTTTCACGAGTGTTTTTCATATCACGGTCGCGGAACTCCAGTGTAATTTTGTGGCGCAGTGACGATTTTATTGCTCTTTTTTTCCTCAGTACCCAGACGAACGATCGTCACTATTCCAATTCTTCCTGGATAAGGTTCGAAAAAATCTACATCTCATTTTGTGCCACTCGCCGGTTGGTGACACTTTCCGAATTCGCGGGAGAAAATTCCCAGCGTTGATTTCGTGCATGACCGTTGATGAGTTTCACCCTTGGCCGCGTGCAGCGCTGACATTTGTGGCATCGAGATTTTTACAAGAAATTTCGCTACCCGAAGAATCACTTTATGAAAAACTCGCCTCTAACATGGCTGAGGTGCATTTATCAATTGATGTTGCAAATGCGAAGTATTTGGCAGTTGAAAGACGATATAACTATACCACACCGAAAAGCTTTCTAGAGCTGATCGCGTTTTATAAACAATTGTTGGAAAAAAAGCGATCGAAGGTTGAAATTAATATAGAGCGATTGGAAAAAGGTTTGACGATTATGGAGCAAGTGAAGGCTAAGGTGGAGGGCCTGAAGGAAGATTTGAAGGTGAAGATGGTACAAGTAGAAGAGAAAAAAGCGGCAACAAATGTGCTGATTGACGAAGTAAATGTGGGGGTAAATATTTTATTAACGAATTTCGCGTGAATTTTTTGTTTGCAAATTTAATTTTTTATGAAAAATTTTTTCTGGAATTTCCATACTGAGATTTGAGAGGAAATTCTTAATTTCTAAGCGAATTTTTAGTATTAAAATTTGATATTTAGGTTACTGTAGCTTCGGAAAAAGCAGCAACAGAAAAAGCGGTCGCTGATGAGGAAGCGACTAAGACAAACGCACTTGCCGAGGAAGCGAGTAAAATTAAGGCGCAAGCAGATGGTGAACTAGCGGAGGCGATGCCGGCTATGGAGGCGGCGAAGGAGGCGGTAGACTGTCTCACGAAACCGGCAATTACGGAGCTGAAAGCGTTGGGAAAGCCACCGCCGGATTGTGTGGAGGTGACGAAGGCGGTTATGATTTTATTGAGAAATGAAAGAAAAAATTTGGATTGGAAAGCCGCGCAGAAAATGATGAATAATCCACAAGCGTTTTTGGAGGAGGTTATGTCGTTTAACGCGAATGAAATTCCCGATTGGGTGCTGGACATGATAGACCCGATTTTGCAAAAGGAATTTTTCAACTATAATTCTATGAAATCGAAATCAACGGCAGCAGCGTATCTGTGCAACTGGGTTGTGAATATCGTTAAGTATAATAGAATTTATGTTAAAGTGGCGCCGCTGATGAAAAAGTGGCGGAGTCTACTAAGCAGAAGGAAGATGCGGAGGCGGCGTTGGTGGTTGTTTTAGCACGGGTTAAAACGGTGGAGGAAAAAGTGGCGAAATTGGAGAAAACGTTGAGTGACGCGGTGAGGGAGAAAGAACAAACGGAAGCTGAGGCGAATGCGTGTCTGGCAAAATTGGAGTTGGCTCAGCGCCTGGTGGACGGGCTCGCCGATGAATACGCGAGATGGACGCAAACGGTGAAGGAGTTGAAGGAAAAAAGTTTGACATTGATTGGGGATTCTATGTTGGCGTCAGCGTTTGTTGGGTAGGAAAATGGGATGTTTTAACACGGGTAAAAACGTCACGATTTTTTATTCAGGTATATCAGTCCGTTTTCGGCTGCTTTCCGATTGGATTTGTGGAGCAACGTTTGGAGTGATGATATCAAAGCCAAAGGAATTCCCTTTACTGAGGGAATTGATCCCCTCCATGTGTTGGCGTCTGAGGCTGATATTGCACTATGGAAAAACGAGGGTTTGCCGGCTGATAGAATTTCAGTGGAAAATGCAGCAGTGGTGACAAGTTGTGCGAGATGGCCGTTGCTCATCGATCCGCAATTGCAGGGTAGGTGGGAATTCGAGGAAAAATGGTATTTTATGATAATAAAAAAAGTTGGTAAAATTTAATTTGGTGATAGTATAAAATTGAAGGCCTTGTTTTTGTGGAGTTGGAGGAATATATGTTTTGTTTTCTCAGTGTTTATGGAATTTTGGTAGAAATGACTAAATTTTTAATTTTCATATTGTCAACATCACATGTCGTTTTCCCTAGCTTGCGACGGCTTCCCAGAGGAAAGTTCACCAGAAAATTCGGAGTGTGGAATTTTCGCAAAATTTTACATGTATTGGTGAAAATATGGAAATTGTGAGGAAATTCATAATGGCTTGGGTATTTTCTTTTGAGAAAGCTCTCGAAACACGAAAATTGTGGAGCGATTGAAAGCATATATTTCCACTTCGCGAATTGTTCTGTGTAAAAAAAATTTGTGTTAAAAAATTTTTTTAACGATTACATCGGTTGAGCTCTCGAGACACATACCATTCGGGAGAGCGTAGGTCATATACCCTGTGAAAAAAAAGGAAAATTTACCGATTTTTTTCATAGGAAGCTCTTATTTCCACCCTGTATCGCATACTGATTCGAAACTGCTATTCCTCACTTATCCAGATCTGTCACTAAATTTTCCTATCAGGTGTGAAGTGGATCAAACAGCGTTTTGGCGAGGAGATGACTGCTATTCAACTGACCCAACCGAATTGGCTTCAAAAAGTTCTCTTCTGCGTTTCTATGGGAGGACAACTTTTGATTGAAGCGGTAGGGGAAGAAATAGATGCAATATTAGAACCGCTTCTCGCGAGGTAACCAAGGCGGGTGTAGCGGTTTAATAGTACTACGTGGAGTTACTGGTTGGTGACAAATTAGCAGATTCATGTGAAATTTGATGTGCTACAGGTGTTGGTTACGTTGCTGCATCACAGTTTTGAGAGGGTTTTTTCCTGTGAGTTTGAGAGAATACAGCGTATTCACATGTTGTCTTTATTACATGGTAAACTGTGTGTGTTGATGACGATACGCAAATTCGTATTGGTTTTCGTACACTTCTTAGCAGAGCGAAAACACTGTGAGAATTGGTTACTGCTCAGGCAAGTTTCCCGAAGGGGTCGAAGCGCATTCGTCATTAAAATTGGAGGAGAGGAGATTGACTACGACCAGAAATTCCAACTAATTTTGCAGAGCAAGTTGCCGAACCCTCACTATAGGTGAGAAAATCTACTCGTGTTGGTGAAATTATGAAAATTCTGGGGAAATTTTCGGGAAAATTTTGGTTGGTTTCTGTACACCCTTATTCGGATTTTATAATTAATAAGGAAACTTTTGAGCTCATGTGAGAGAAGCAAACATATATTCTTCCAACACTGGATGAGACTTCGTCACTGCGCCACAAAATTATTTCGTTTTTTTTGTATTTTTCAGACCGGAAATTGCAGCTCAGTGTACTATCATTAACTTCATCGTCACACCGGAGGGGTTGGAAGATCAAATTCTAGCGATGGTGGTTAACGTGGAGAAACCTGAATTGGAACAACAAAAACAAGAATTGGTAAGATAAGGAAAGATATTTTTTATTTTCTGCGCGCACAGCGAAGATTAATTTATGGTTTGAGAAAATATGCAACTTTTGTAGTTTTTTTCTC